GCCATCTGGCAGTTTATTCTTTTACTTAGTCGCTGCTCTTCTCCCTTGGCGTGAAGAGTTTGCCAGAGAGATCGCCAGACTTCCCTGTCAACAATTATTTTTTTAAAAGCTTTGTTCCATTCGAGTCATCTGTCAGTCAGGGACTGTAGGAAGTTGTCTTCCCAGCGGACCCTGGGTGGTCCCAGAGATCCTAGTTCCCTGGTTCTTAGCTCCCCATGGTGGCCGATTCTCTCCCATTCTGGATTATGTATAAACCATCGTAACTGTGCCTTAACCACTTAAGTTCACATAATAATTATTATTATTATGATTGCCCATTTAAACAAGGCCTAAGCCTCTTGAGCCACCTGCCACCTAGAAAATTATAAACCGATGAGGGATCCGACCCACAATAATGCGTCAACAGATATAACATACTTCAAGATTGCATAAAGAAATAAAATAAACAGTGGTTCTGATTTATAATTTTCTGTAATTTATTTCTCCCAATTTAGTTTTTCCGTTTGAAAACCAAACTATTTTTATGAATCTATTACGTTCCTCTATCTTGTGTAACATAACAAATTCATGCACACACATCAATATTCCATCTACACAGCAACCAGTATCGAGTCGGCCAAAAAAACCGTTCTTATGAGATTTGCTTTAGTTGACAGAGGTATATTTCTATGGGTCTTTGTGAAGTGACGTCATTAGTCATCATAAAACACAACAAACAACTTACACATTCACACCAAACATACACACAATCAACAGAACTAGAAATGCTTCTCATGGATAATACATACATCGAAATAAATAAATATGTTGAAATAATTATAAATATCAAAACAAACTGATGACAGACATCAAGTTCTGCTAGGATAAGACTCTTAAATTCATAGTCTGTGCGTTCTGTTCATTAACTATTTTAACAAAACACAATGCATTGTAATTTCTTGGTCACTCCAAATGTAGCACTGGTACGATGTTCTTGCTGTCTCCTTTCACAGCCAATCGTCATTTTAACCCTTCGTATCTGATATACTTCTCGGGTTAATTCTTCCGACCAGTATAGTGTCAGTGATGAACTTTTTGAGACCTAAGAATGTGTGACCTTTAACCTCAATTAACTGGTATAGATAAAGTTACAGCAACAGCTACTCAGGATACTGTTAACTCTTCAACATGTCAGATTACTCTTTCTTGTCTCTAATCTCTGTTCTGCCTTTTGGTGTCAGGTTTTGTAGAGACATCTGTTTCATGCCACGCAGATGCTGATATGCATACCTTTCGATATTTCATCTATCCATTGCTGGCAAAGATGGCCTCTAGTTCTGCGTACGTTTTAATGTAAGTGATTCCCGTGTGGGTTCCGGGATCCCAATGTGGGGGAAAAGAGAAACAGATCCACTGCCTCCCCACCATGCATGTCGTAGGAGTCTACTAATTGGGTGTATTCTTCGAAGTCGTAGTTCATCTGTTTAACAGACAGGGGACTAAGAGTCTGCATACAAATAAGCCAGATCTGCAAAACGGATGTGCACGCAACACTCGGGTTCTGTAATCAGTCCAGAAGTGGACGAACAATCATAAACTTCTGCCGGAGTTTACAGCTGGAGAACACGGGAAGATGAAGATCTATGATGGCTCTCCGTGGTACACTGACCTGTAGCAGTGCAGATACCCCCAGGACAATAGCTGTTTGTTTTGGGCACCCTGAAGTTTAAAAGGTCCCTTTTTCGCGCTAGTGGCCCAACTGGCATATGGAACTAGCTTCATAACTGTACAGACCAAACGGCCCTCGAATGTGGTCAACATCTCGCCAACCGCTTTTACTTCCATGGCTATATAGGAACGCCGTCTATTATAAACATTGGTTCCAATGTGATACAAAACTCAAGGTGTATCGGTTCAGTAGAAAACCGTCTAGCCAATGTGCTATTAGACCTCCCTCGTAACTTTTGTTTTTGTATCAGTTGCACACAAATGTGGCGGTGGCGATTGTAGCTAAGAAAAGAAAAGGAGGGGGATGCTCCGTGCAGCTAGCATCGCTTCAGAGGTCCTGGACAGTTAGTGCCCTATAGATATTTTCTCTAGGGAATGTCAGTGCGATGGAAAAAGAACAGCCAGACAGAGGATATGACCCATATTTATATAGACCAATCAAAGCTCAAGGGGTAATGCTGTCAGTATCACAGTGGTTGCCTTTAATTTCCTGCAATTTGCTGGCATCCCTTTTAGGCTAAGCCAGACTAGGAACTTGGGAACTCCAGTAAAAAAAAAAAAAAACGAATAGCGCTCAGCATAGTAAGGGTAATTCCACAACTGCCAGTTAAAAAGTCCGATGGAAATTCTTGCTTGTTCGTCCATTTCTGGACTTTGGTAATGTTCCAGAACTTGAGTTTTGTCTACATTTGTTTTACAGATCTGGCTTTTTCGTAAGCAGAGCACTCTGACGTCAAAGGAATACCCTCCAAATAGTCGACTGTTACGACATGCTTGTTGGGGGGGGGGGCCCTTCCCATTCCCCCATAATGGGGCCTGGGTGTTGATCATATAGGCCAGGGCTAATTAACTACGCTTACACAGGGGCCCAACAGTTGAAAATGTAGATCGTGGCTGGCCAGAGGCATCAGCCCTAGCACACAGAATGAACATTACTACAACCGGTAATGATCCACGGCCAACTTGGCAAGCCTCAAGTTTTGCCACACATGCCAACAGTTGAATGGCCCTGGTAAAGATAAACCCTGGCATGAGAGGAGATAAACGTAGGCTGGCAATAAATATGCTGCAAGCAACATTGCCATGTTTATTTGAATTATTGTTCCCGAAAAGCAATAGTTTGCATTTTCTTAAAATGTTACTAACATTTTTATAAACTGTTGCTGACTGACCAGTTGTTTTGCTCTCTCATTCCAAACTGGCTTTAAATAAACGTGGCTTGATTTATCTGCAACAACAGTCATTTCACTCGATTTCAATATTAACAGAATAAATACTAAATCATCTAATTTTTAGTGTGGAATTTTTTCCTAGTGTCATTGTCATTTCAAGTTTAAACATAACTACTGTCTTAATGGTGTTCCATAAGATTCCACATCAGGGAAAATCAACGTATCACCAACGCCATACAAACGTATCACTAACACCATACAGGCGTAACTCCAGCTGTGCTTATATGTGTTCTTCAGTCATGCAGTGCACACCTCGAAATGTGTTTTCTAAACGTTGATAATCATGCATAGCACACTGTATAAATTTAAAACGGTTTTCATTTAAAAACACGTTTATTTCTCTAAAGTAGAACTGACGGGGCACCCTGTACAAGAAACCAGTGTGCCACTGGGACAGTCAGCATCTCCACCTTAGAATAGAACATCTGCTGCTTGGGACGAGGCATGTGTGGGTAGGTCCAGCATATTATCTTAAGTTCTTAAATCTGTCTTCTTCTTTTTTCAGTTTCGCTACAGGTTTTACAATCAAATTAATTTTTAAGTTTAAATGCTTGAGCATTCAAGTTTTGAAACATACATGGTCTTAAACAACAGTGGCTATTTGTAAGTTCTTTTACAGCAGCTATGGCTCAGTGGCGAGGTATGATCAGTTTGTATGTGTAAGTGGTTTAGACTAAATTAAGAAAGTAATGATTACACTGGAAATGGTATTTCACATGATATTTTCTCTCTCGCCACTTTGCTGTTGAGAGTATATGTGCACAGGTAGCATCATACTATTATCAGACTGTTGGCTGTCACATGTTACAGTTTCTGCCTGAGTAGCAACAGCACGTAGCAAGTGTGCCTTTCACCATGTTAAAATGCTGTTAACAAGCCTTATATGCTAGGCGAGATGTAAAAAAGAGTGGTGTATTTGTAATAAACAGTAAAAAGTAATATAGAAGACAGAAAGAAAATAGTGACGACAGAAATGAAATGTTTACAAACTATGCTAGATGTAACGTGGATAGATCAACTTAAAACGATATCAGGAGGTGAGTCGGCACAGAACCAGTACTGAACTTTATATGTACACAACAAATCAAATGATTTGGCCATGTAACCAGACTGGCATCAGACAGGGCATCACAGAAATCAATGTTATACAGATACAGAGGTCAACCCCGCCGAAAATGGACCACAGAAATATCAGACACTGAAAAGTACTTTACACGAAGCGAACAGAAGGGCCTGATCCAGAGATGTCTTCCTGCCCTCACGCTGTGAGGCATTCCAGAAGCAATGAAAAGAAGTACTACAAAAAATAGTTAAAATATTGCATTTTTATTTTGCATTCAAAAGTGTAAGCGTCAATTACAGCCATCATATGTATGTCTTGCCACTGCCCCCCCCCCCCTCTCTCCAGCATTAAACACAACGGAAACTTCTTTGCCTAGTCTAAACACACTGACAGCTTCATTCTGAAGCTTAAACATAACAGTGTCTTGTAGCTGGCGTTAAATAGCCACCGTTGTGTGAAACCACCGCTGTGTGAAACCATCGCAAGTCTCTACTTCAACACAGCTGTGGCTTTTGTTCTTAGCCATGAACAGAAAGATGAACGCTGCATCAACCAGAATCGTGGATTCTTTCTTGAATAGCAAACATTTGACAGAAAAGTGACACAGTTTGCACCAGCAGCGAGCGGTTTAATATGCTGTAGATCTTGTAAACAGTGGCTTTTATATGTACTGAGTTGAGTTGAGTCAAGAATTGACATCACAGCACTCAGGGCATTACCATGCTTTGTCCTCATCTTCAGCAGCCAGCGCAGTGTTGCAATACTGATGGTACCGGTCACAGTCTGGTTAAATGTCCCTCTTGCATTTCCACTGAGTGTAGTTTTATTGAATAGATTTTACAGATGTGGTATCTTCACCAAAACTGTAGTGGTTGTGGCTTCTTCTGGCAACCATATTAGATGGTTGAAAGTAGCAGTGGTGGCTTTTACAATAGCCAACAGTGGAGGACATTTTTTTTTTATCTTTTGCAAAGTTTGTGCAGCCGGTGGATTCTTTATCACGTTTCATAATAATGGTGATAGTGGTGGTGGTGATGGTGTTCGTGTATGTGATGGTGTTCATGTCTCTGAACGATGAGCTGATCACCCTTTGTATCCCAAGGATGTTCACGCTCTATCCACTGCGCCACCTGCTGCATCGCCATATCCCGATCTTTCTCCCGATGGCGGTGGCGACGATGATGATGCGGGGACACCATTACTGGAACATGACCCGGCAAACTAACTGGCCTAAATCGTCTACTGCCACGGATTTGATCTGATGGCGGTTGCTGTTGGTGACCTTTGGGAGATCGCGTCTGCCCTGTCACCTCCTGGGGGTCGAACGATTTTGAGCGTGGGTGATGTTGATCAAGACGTCCATGTTTATTTCTCAACCACTCACTTTCTCGACGAATATTATCACATTTGTCTAGTAAGGTATTGTCAATATTATTCTCAGTACCATTATCTGTTTTTGTTCCAGTGGTTACATCATGCGACCTTGACCTGTGATGTCCACCGGAAGTTTTCACACAACCTGAGCCTGCAAGCGGAACTGTAGGATTGTTCTGGAATTTAGATTTGTTGCTTTCGACTCCCGCCAGATCTAGGTAGTAATTCCTACGATCTTGACTCTCCTTGGGTTTATCGTCTGTTGTATCATCTGTCCTCGCAGAAGGTCGAGCACCTCCTGCTGCACCAGTGTTGCCGCCTCCACCTCCTTCTGCTATGACAGCTTTCATTGTGGCAGACAGCGCGGCGCAAACTGTGGTGACTGGACATTGAGTTCCTGTGATCCGATGTCGTCGTTTATGATGCTGCTGGCCATCGTTTCTGCTGTCACTGTGATGCCTTCTGTGGAAAAAAGAGAAAAAAATGATAACTAGAAATAATGAAGTATATAAATCTTGTTCAGATTCTCCACTGGACAGATAATAGATACACAGAGACTAGACTGAGTATACATCTTGTTCAGATTCTCCACTGGACAGATAATAGATACACAGAGACTAGACTGAGTATACATCTTGTTCAGATTCTCCACTGGACAGATAATAGATACACTGAGACTAGACTGAGTATACATCTTGTTCAGATTCTCCACTGGACAGATAATAGATACACAGAGACTAGACTGAGTATACATCTTGTTCAGATTCTCCACTGGACAGATAATAGATACACAGAGACTAGACTGAGTATACATCTTGTTCAGATTCTCCACTGGACAGATAATAGATACACAGAGACTAGACTGAGTATACATCTTGTTCAGATTCTCCACTGGACAGATAATAGATACACCGAGACTAGACTGAGTATACATCTTGTTCAGATTCTCCACTGGACAGATAATAGATACACAGAGACTAGACTGAGTATACATCTTGTTCAGATTCTCCACTGGACAGATAATAGATACACAGAGACTAGACTGAGTATACATCTTGTTCAGATTCTCCACTGGACAGATAATAGATACACAGAGACTAGACTGAGTATACATCTGTTCAGATTCTCCACTGGACTGATAATAGATACACAGAGACTAGACTGAGTATACATCTTGTTAGATTCTCCACTGGACTGATAATAGATACACAGAGACTAGACTGAGTATACATCTTGTTCAGATTCTCCACTGGACAGATAATAGATACACAGAGACTAGACTGAGTATACATCTTGTTCAGATTCTCCACTGGACTGATAATAGATACACAGAGACTAGACTGAGTATACATCTTGTTCAGATTCTCCACTGGACAGATAATAGATACACAGAGACTAGACTGAGTATACATCTTGTTCAGATTCTCCACTGGGGAGTATACATCTTGTTCAGATTCTCCACTGGACAGATAATAGATACACAGAGACTAGACTGCCGGTGATTGGATACGTTGTGGATGCGAGTGAGCACTTGTGATGAGGTATCAGAGACTGCTGTGACGATGGAGACTACCTCAAAGGAGAATGAGTGCAGTATCAGAAACACATTCAGGCAACAGACAAATATAGCGACTTTTTGAAGCTGGTCCAGTGTGCCAATAATTACTCACTTCAAACACAATAAGACTCAACTGACAATATACAAGCACATCTTTGGTACGGTCAGGTTGTTCCGTTAAAAAGTATGCAGGTTGTGCCATGTCAGATGACTACAGACTACAGTGGAAGTAAAGTTCTGGTGGTCACGGCATTAGTAGCAATGGTAACATGATAGTGGTAGTTGTCTTCTTCTTGTGGCTTTTATCATGTAACAGAGCAAAGGTTCTCCTGAGCCAAGATGCAAACTTCATAGTACTTATTAGGAGCGAAAGTACAAGCTGTAAATTTGGTAGCAGCAGCAGTGGTGATAGTAGCAGCAGCAGTGGTGATAGTAGCAGCAGCAGTGGTGATAGTAGCAGCAGCAGTGGTGATAGTAGCAGCAGCAGTGGTGATAGTAGCAGCAGCAGTGGTGATAGTAGCAGCAGCAGTGGTGATAGTAACAGCAGCAGTGGTGATAGTAGCAGCAGCAGTGGTGATAGTAGCAGCAGCAGTGGTGATAGTAGCAGCAGCAGTGGTGATAGTAGCAGCAGCAGTGGTGATAGTAGCAGCAGCAGTAGTGGTAGCAGCAATAATAGTAGTTGTGTTAGCAGCAGCAGTAGTAGTGACGTTAGCAGTAGCAGTATCAGCAGCAGCAGTAGTAGTGGTAGCAACAGCAGTGGTGATAGCAGCAGTAGTAGTAGTGATTGTAGCAGCAGCAGTAGTGATAGCAGCAGCAGTAGGGGTGGTAGCAACAGCAGTTGTGATAGCAGCAGCAATAGTGGTGGTAGCAACAGCAGTGGTGATAGCAGCAGCAGTAGTGGTGGTAGCAACAGCAGTGGTGATAGCAGCAGCAGTAGTAGTGGTAGCAACAGCAGTGGTGATAGCATCAGCAGTAGTAGTGGTAGCAACAGAAGTAGAGGTAGAAGCAGCAGTATTAGTGATGGTAGCAGCAGCAGTAGAGGTAGCAGCAGCAGTAGTAGTAGTGATATCAGCAGTAGTGGTAGTGATAGTAGCAGCAGTGGTAGCAGCAGCAAACTGTGACAACTCCCACTTACCGCAGCTGTCGAATCTGGTTTCTCTCCATGTTCTCCTGTACAAGATGAGCCAGTTGTTGGTGGTCTGGCTTCAGATGCAACCCGCCAGACTGCTGCTGACTTGATTTCGGATTCTTCGTGTCCAGATTTTGGGTTGCCACATAATCCTGAATAGTGACAGCAGACGACTGTGCCAGATTTTCGTTGGTACATTTGACCTGAGTCCTTGTCAGGTTGTTGAGCTTGGAAAATTCCTGAACTTTATTTTTTGCAGGTTTATTTGTGTTTTTGCTGCGTTCTGAAGACTTAGCATTGTGGCTGTGCTGTAACTGGGAGGCTGTGTCCTGGCCAACGGACAGACGAAGCTTCAAGGTCTTGGCGCCATTTGGTGGCAGCCTGATAGAGGACCCAACGGCATCATAGAGAGCTTTCAGCAAACTTGAGAGATCCTGAAAATATACAGATAATTTCAGTGATGCTTCCATTAGAGTTGCTTCTGTCTGAGTGACTCATTTGTGTCAAGAGTTCTGTAAAAATGTTTGCTATTGTGTCTGCGCAAGGCCCACTATCCCTATATGTAGAGGTGTCAAAGTTCAATAACTCCTGTTCCGACAGAATTCAGTAACACTATATGCAGGTGTCTGTGCGTCAAAGTTCCACAACTATGTGTGTGTGGATTATCGAGAAATATAGTTGCCTTTAGAGTGTAACTATTTGTTGGCGTGTCTATGTCCTAGTTCAGTAACTATATTTATGTCCAAGTTCGGGATCTCTAAATGCGTCAAAGTTCAATGACTCTATGTGTGTTAAAAGTTAAGTAGTTCTATTGTGGATATACTCCTTACCTCCTTGTTAGGACGTTATTTTTTTATATTTGAAGCCCCACTCTGGCTTTTGCCAGGGGCCGCAATATAGGCAGGTCGTCATTATGGCCAAATGTCTGAACGCGGTTTCTGGGACCTCTCCACGGTGATCCTCATCCGCATGGTGGCACTTTGTGTCATCGGGTGTTTATCGCTTGTGTGATGTCCTGGTGGGGTAAAAAAGCCAAGCCAAGCCCAATGTTCACTAAATTTGCAGTATGTCCTATTACAGTTCAGTAAGCTATATTTTTTGTGACAAAAGTGTATCGCTTCTCGACCTTTTGGCTAAGATCCAAGTGTAGCTCTGCTGTACTGGTCTGGCCAAGAGCACCGGGATCTGTCACAACCAAGTCACGGATGAAACCCAAACGACATGAGCCATCTCTTTCAGTCTGGATTGCGGACGTAAAGTCAAACTTGTTTCTGTGTGCAAATTTTGTTTCACCTACTAGGTTAGTTTAAACAGGAAACCCCCCCCCCCCCCCCAATGAATTATAAAAGAACAGAAAATAAAAACCAAACACAATAAAAACGACTATAGCAGCGGCAGCAACTACTGTATAGCCAGTCGCTTTGCACTCAAGCACGTCTCCCGCAGTGCGGCGGCTGACTCACGCTCGGGGAGAGAGGGAACAGGAAAATGTGGGGAAACAAATGGGAGAATCAGCTTCTGTGTGTGTGCCTGCACGTGCATCCATAACACACATTAATTGATTGGCGGTTAAACAGGTTGGCGAGGATTAGTCATGTTTTTGTTCTATTCAAATTATGGCTACATACATTAACCGCGGTGTTGACGTCACAACTAGGTGGGTACTTGGCCGTGTTGTATTCAGACAAACAGCAGCCTAAACATTCACATACACTTGCATTCTTTTTACAAAATGGGAATCGGTATATACACGTATACTGTCTTTATGGCTCAACAACTTTCCTATTCTTTCTCTTCTTCTTCGTCGTATTCCTTCTTCTTATTTTTTCTCCTCCTCCTCTTCGTCTTCTACGAGATCACCGGCTGTAAACTTTAGAGGAAAATTCTGGTTGTTCGTCCATTCCTGGACTTTAGTCTTGTTTCAGAACAGGCGTTTTCAATAGATATGGCTTTATTTTGCAGACTGATACTTCCTCGCCTTTCAGTCAGATGCACTTCGATTTCAAAGGAAAAGCTCCCAAATTAGTTGACTTTTACGGCATGCTTGTAAGAGAGAAGTCGGTCTATTCTTTCTCTTTCTCTCAGAATCGCGCCCCAGAACCCACGTGGGGAAAATAACTTCCAATTTTTATTGTAAAGACATTTTCAATTTACAAAACTAATTATCTAACTGTTGATAAGTTTTTGAAAAACACACCAAAAACTAAAGCACAGAGGTATGTGAACCAGTGGTTATAAATTAGTTTGTGTCTTTCTTCACTTCTTTGGACCTCATCAGGTTTGATTTTTTTTTAAAAATCCGCACAAAGAAATTATGTGGATGTGGGGAGGGGATACCCCTCATATTTGGGTTCCGGGGCCCTATTAAAGGGAAAACAAGAATATACCAACTGCCTACCCAAAAGCATGTCGTACCAGTCGACTATTTGAGAGCTTCCTTCGGAGTCGGAGCGCAGGAACCAACAGTCTGCAAACAAAGTAGTCAGAACTGTCAAACGGATGCACACACCACACTCAGGTTCTGGCATAGGATGACTGCAGTGCAGAAGTGGACGAACAACCATAACTTTCCGCCGGAATTTGCAGCCAGTGAACGCGAAGAAGAGAAGAAGATAACTGGGAGAGTATCAATCACGTGTTTTACTCAGTCTAGGAAAGAACAATTCGTAGAAGAAATGAGTGTAGACATATGACACCCAATACACACGTAACATCAACCAAGGTTGCCAATTTGGCCTTTTTAAAAAGAAAAAGGCAAAATTCGAGAAATACCCAAGCATGTAAAAGCATTCCTGTCTTATGCTGACTCTGTCGACGTCTGCTGATGCTTGTATCTGCGCGCTATATTTCTGTCGCCAGCTGTAAATATATATATATTTTTCCCAACTTCCACATTTCTGGAACTAGCTTATTTAAAGAAATCCTGCGAAAAATTGGATCTGCAGAAACAGCTCCCACCACCCCACTTTAGCATCCCCACGCAGAGAGAAAAAGTCAATTACTGTGTCAAGGCCAGAAACAGTCGTGGGATTTACTTCCGGCTCATAGACCTAAAAATCAATACTCGTTCATGAATGAATTGGCTTTTGTCACCGATGTGGAAATTTTCCACACCCCCTGCTTTCATTGTTTACCAGAACCGTATAGCACAAAGGGTCTTAGTTTGTGACTGATACGTTAGGCTATAGGCAAAACTGTATTATACATTAGTAAGTGACGGAGTCAATATGTGGTCGTCTTTTACTCCCCGAAACTTTACCTGGTATCATATTTTTGACTGAGTGTACATGTAAATAAATAAAAATAAAAAACTTTCGATCAGAGATTCGAACCTGTCTGTACCTCGTGGGCCAGCAGACAGGTGGGTCGGTCAGAGTATACCACGGCATTCTATTATCTACTTGTCTGATCCAGAAATAGATTTTGTAATAAACATTGGTGTTAAATTACCAATTATAACTAATGCTTGCTTGTAGACAGGATATCCGATCTGAACAGAATTCGGTGTGTGTATGTGTGTGTGAGTGAGTGAGAGTGTGTGTGAGTGAGAGTGTGTGTGAAAGAGAGGGTGAAAGAGAAAGAGAGTGTGTGTGAGAGAGAGAGTGAGAGAGAAAGAGAGTGTGGGTGTGAGAGAGAGAGTGAGAGTGAAAGAGAGAGTGTGTGTGAAAGAAAGAGAGTGAGAGAGAGAAAGAGTCGTAAAAAAGTGCAAACACAAACAATCTGGAACTAGAGACGCAGCTGATCGTCACTGGAAGCAGCAGTTACAAAAAATCAGCAACTGCACGTGCAATCACATAAGGCACCGCCAGTTTTCAGGCAGCAGGCCACTGGCCATTTTCTGAATCTGCAATTCACAGCACAAACCATGTTGGACCAAGGTGAAAAGCATTCCAAACTAAATCCGTGGCTCACAGTGTCGCGCCATGCACTCAACACTGTAGCTAGTCGACGGATGTAAATTCTTTCAGATTATTTAAGGAGGAAACTGCAACGGCTAACAACTGTCAGAAGCACAACCATGCCAGGACTAAAAACAGCAAATCTGCCTATCCGCCATACCATACTTAACGGAGGTCAAGGATATCATAGAGAGAGAGAGAGAGAGAGAGAGAGAGAGAGAGAGAGAGAGAGAGAGAGAGAGAGAGAGAGAGAGAGAGAGAGGGAAAACACTTTTGGGCACAGAATGATACTTTTTTTTTATATATATACTGCTTCTAAGGCCTCATTCAGTCTGTTCTCGTTATGCCTAGTGGCACATGAGGCTTCAGAGAGGACTTTCCATGCTTTCCTGTCCTGTGCAATCTTCAGTGCAGTTTTCCATGTCAAAGATGCCGCACTCGGGTCACTTTCTATCGTTCGTCTCCATGTTGTTTTTGGGTGCCCCTGTTTTCTCTTTCCCTCTGATGTCCATGTGAGAGCTGTTTTGGCGGGTATATCAGGATTTATTCTCATAACGTGGCCAAGCCATTTCTGCGGCCTCAATGAACCATCTATTTCTGTCTGGTAGGCCAAGGTTTGTTGGATCCGCATCACTGGGTGGTGAACTGATACATGACAAGGCAGATGTGGTGAAGGCCCTTTGGGAACAAGCAACTTAATCAGTAAAGAACTTAGTCGCTCCTCTTCTACCTTGGGGTGTAGAGGTTTGCCAGAGAGATCGCCAGACGTCTCTATCAGCAGTTTTCTTTCAGGCTTTGTTCCATTCCAGTCCTCTGTCAGTTAGGGACTGTCGGATGTTGTCTTCCCTGGGTCGTCCTGGAGGTCTGGTTCCCTGGTTCTTAGCCTCCCATGGGTCAGTAAAGAAAGAAGATTATTATGGCCTGGAGAGAACGAGGCACGTGAACTACAATTTGAGTTGATGGTCCGAACAGGCTCCTCTTTCTCAGTCCTATTGGCACACTCTCCTCTGTATCTAAAGGGATGTTTCTATCTTGTGTAAATCACGCACACGTGCGTACGCGCATGCATCGCTTCTGCATGGTGCAGAATGAGGCTTAAGAAAAGACGGAGCTGGGGAGCATGGAAGAGGGATGGGATGGCAAGGACTCGCCAACTGGATGGACGACCATGCTTCTCCTGCGGTCCACAACAGTGTTGCCACTTTTCTTTGACAAAAAACATCCAAAACGGAGTCATAAAATATCTGAAAACATGTACATTTGTGTGGAAAACATCTAGAAAAAACATCCAAATTGAAAGAGTCACCAATTGCATAGCAATTTATTTGACTTACCCTATAGAATCATGTCCTCATCTTTACTGAAGTCTGCCTTACAAGACCCATAGGATTAACTTAGCTTGGATGATGAAGTTGAAACTTCAGATCCAAAATGACTCTGGTATGCTTTAGCTGTTCCAATTTCTTTTAATACCCAATCAGGGAGCTGATAAGTGGAACATTTTCCTACTCTTGTCAGGCAAAATTTTATTGTCA